GGGGGGGGGCTAAGTGGCGCCTTACGGGCAGACCGAGTAGGCAAACCCGCCTGCACCTGCTGTTCCGAGACAGCTGGCTCGAAGGGGGTCCTTTGGGGACTTGATAGGGGGATCCCATGGGGGCCCTCCATGATGGGAACTCCAGCTGGGATTGAGGGGACATGTGCATTACTTGTGCAAGCAAGGGCAACGTCGCGCGTGCGAACCGAGAGCAAACAACTTCCTGGCCGAGTGGGAGCCACCTTCCTCTCCCCCCTCCAAGTAAGTGCCGTGACGAATATCTCCCGGACCACCCCATCTGTCGGAGGGGAGGCCGGGGAGGCGCCAGGCTGGGGGCTGGGGCTGGAGTGGCATGGCAGACATGGTGTGGCGTGGCGAGGAGTGGAGGGGATAAGGGGGAGGCAGGGACAAGGGCTGGCAAAGAAAAGACAAGTTGGAACAGGGGTGCTAAGTAAGGGGCGTTGAGAAATTTGTTCCAAATCAGATGATTAAGTCTGACTAATTAAGGTTGCTTAATGTGACGTGATACTCACCAACCAATGTACCAGGGCTGTTCGCCATCCAAGTTTAAGACTCTTGATCTTGACATGGAAAACACATCTTTCAAGGAGAGGAACTCAGTCTTAAAAGTGAGGAGCTGGCATTCATCTTCCACAGATTCATACGCTCCTTCAGTTGACTCGTACAGTTTCTTAAAATAGTCATAGCTGAATGTTCGGATGGCAGGCCAGTCTGCAGCTGCGCCTTTCACCAAGATTGGTTGATAAGAGTATGCGTACTTTTCAAACTCCAAGCGACTGACATTATGCAATTGCAAAACATCAGTTATGCCCCTGCAAATGTTGCAGTCTGCAATGGGTCTGGTTGCCTCCCACACTAGGAAGTTGTTGGGCACCACACATCGCACACCCAGAGCGGTGTTCACTATGTCCTCGCTGAAGAGCCCCAGGACGGCGAGGATCAGCCCCACCAGGACGACGCACACTGGCACGGTCACTGACAGCACCACTCGGCCATAACCTCGCCTCCGCTTGCGCAACGAGACGCCCGGGCGACACTGGGACTGGAGGAAGACGGCGTACAGGTCCTCGACGTCCGCCCCGTTCCGGAGCGCGTTCTCGTTGGCGGAGGCGAAGAGGCGGACCAGCTCTTGTAGTTCCTGCTTCTTGTCGCCAGCTGACATCGTCACGTATCACGACATCGCAGACGGAGGTTCTTGTGACGTGTGAGCACGTCTGGGTGGGGCGCGGGCGTGCGAGGCGCCGCCGGAGCGGGGCGTAGCGAGCGCGCAGCTTGGCGCAGCTGGGCCACGAGCCACGCACACGGCACACGCGGCCACTGACTCACCGACACCGACTGAATGGGAATGAATGAGAACCTCGTCCCGCCCCTCCCTCTCCTCCTCGCCCCCTTCCCTTTCCACTCGTCACACCTTGGCACCCCCTCTCTTCTCCTCACCCATCCCCACCACATTCCTCATTGGCTGCAAAGTGAACGGACAGTTTCTCATACTGCTCTTCTCCTCAGCTGAGCTGCGAATAGCGATGTTTCGGTTTTGGGTTGGGGGTTGCTGTTGGTGATTCAGAAGTGCAATTTTTGTATTTTTATTTAGGTTTACGTTTGTTGTCATCAGGTTCTGGTTAAAATTTACTTTGTTATTTGCCAAATGGCCCAGTTTGCCAAATCTCGATTCGTCCCTACGCCACCGGAAAAGGGGAGTTTCCCTTTGGATCATGAGGGTGTCTGCAAGGATCTGATGAAAAAATACATGACGTGTTTGTCCGTAAACAAACAAGACAATACTCAGTGTCGAGAAGAGATTAAAACATACTTGGATTGTCGAATGAAAAACAACTTGATGGCAACAGAAGGGTGGAAGTCACTAGGCTTAGACGACGTAGGCTCAGATGTGCAAGTTGTCCAGAAGTGAGGTTATCTACTCTTGTGTTTACTTACGTCTTCAGTCTTTGAAGCATACTTGCTCTTCCTAAAATGGAGACTAAAAAGAAAGTAAATGTTTTGGTTTGCTGCACTGGCAGTGTGGCCACAATAAAAATTAAAGAACTTGTCGATAAGATTCTTAAGTATGGGGCAGCAGTTCGAGTTGTTTCATCGGAACATGCTCAACATTTCTTCAGTGTCGAAGAATTGCGAACGTGTGTCGAAGTTTTTCGTGATGAAGATGAATGGACCATGTGGTCCAAGAGAGGAGATCCGGTACTTCACATTGAGTTGGGAAAGTGGGCTGATGTCCTGCTAATAGCACCGCTGGACGCAAACACCCTTGCCAAAATATCCCAGGTATGTGCTGTTTTTCTGTGGGCATGCCGTGATATTTTCT